TAGATTCGAGGACAATACCCAATATGTTCTTTTATGTCTTTTAGTATTGTTTAAGTTGTGTACGGGATTAGTCCCGAATTTTGTACTCTAAAGTATTAGATGGTTTTGAGACATATTGTATAAAGTCTAGAAAGTCTTCCGCTTGCTATTTAATGAAAGTATCTTCGTGTGTGAAGAAAGTTTTAATTCATTATGGTTTTGGTGTCTATGCGATGAATGAATGCTAAGAGGCTTGTATTAGACCTCTTCGAGGTCGAGTACACCGGTTACGACTAGGGGGTGCTCCTGGGTCGTGACATTATTACTTGGCTGTTTCATGTATTTACAGATATTGAAGGTCACCTCAACATCGTTCACACGGAACTTCAATTTTCCACTTTCGACATCCACCAATGCTCTCCAGGTAGCTAAGAATGGTCTTCCCAAAATAATGGAGATTTCAGCATCGATGTCACAATCTAAAATCACGAAATTAGCCGAAAAGATGAACCGATCTACTTTTACCAATATGTCATGGACTATCTCCACTGGGTGCTTGATTGATCGATCAGCCATAAGAATTCTCATTGTGGTTGCCTTTGGTTCACCCAAACCAAGTTGCTTGTATATTGCATAGGGCATCAAGTTAATGATTGCTCCCAAATCGCACAAAGCTTTAGCGAATTGGAGCATGCCAATTGTGCATGGAATAGTGAATGCCTGAGGATCTTCTCTCTTAGTGATTGACTCATTTGTCATAATTGCGCTGCAGCTATGGGGCACCTTCATCGTTTCATACTCTAGGCTCAATCTCTTTGCAACCAGCTCTTTCATGAATTTGGCATATCCCAGCATTTCCAACAATGTTTCCACCAAAGGAAGGTTAATTGATAAGTTCTTGAATACTGACAAATTTTTTTTTAACTTCTCGTCTTCATTCTTATTTTTCAAACGTTGAGGAAATGGTGGAGGTATTTTGGGTAAAGGGTGCGTGGTTTTTGGAGCTTGAACATGTTGCTCTGCATTATCTTGTGGTTCTTTGGCAAAGTTTTATGGAATAGATGATTCCCATTCCTCTATATCCTGGCTCTCTTCCTACATTCGAGGGTCCTCATCCTCCATCACATTCCCTTTGGTCATCTTTCCACTATGGGTTACCACATCTACCCCTCTTTCATTATCTTCCATTAGTGTCCTGGATGTTAATTTAGCTGATAATAGACTCAATTGGCCTTCTAGTGTTTTGATAGAATCAGCATGAGAATTGACTTTATTGTTTAGTGATGAAAAGTCATCTCTCATTCCTATTAGCAAATCATCAGAGCCCTCAACTTTATCAAGAATACTTGACAATAGATCATTTACCCAAGGACTACTTGCGCTACGTTTTGATCTCGAGCTTTCACTCAATTGAGTACAGTCTTCCCTATGGTTATCTTGCTCAACCCAATCATGGGAATATCTCCTTGCTTCCTCACTCCTATAGTGGTTCCCACCTTGATTTATGCCCCGCTGTTGATAGCATGGGTGGAAATCCTCCTCATATCTTGTGGAGTTCCAACCTTGATTCTCCCTCAGTCTTAAGTGACTAGATGAAGAACCCCACTCAATTCTTTTGGAGTTCCAACCTTGATTCTCTCCCGGTCTTAAGTAACCAGAAGGAGAACCCTCCTCAACTCGAAATACTCCATACGTCCCCTTCATGTGCTCGTGTATCACTTCCATTTGAGACAACATCTTTTGAATGTTTTTGTCCCTTTCCCTTTCTTTATCGAGTTGTTCTTGTATTAATTTGAAGCACAGTGGGGAGACTTAGTCATCTTTTGTGTACCATGCTTGATTTACTCTATTCATGCCATCTAGGAGAAATGAGGCTACTTCAAATGATTGTAACAATATTCCTCCTTGCACCAGCTGATCAACTATCCCTTTATTAACCGAATCCAAACCACGGTAAAAATATTGGAGCAATAACTCACTCGGCAATCCATGCGTTGGACATTTTTGCAAAATTCTCTTAAATCATTTCCATGATTCGTGAATTGGTTTGCCCTCCTTTTGATTAAAACTTTGAATGTCGTCTCTCAGTTTCATCACTTTTTATGGAGGGACGAATGTTTCATGAAAAGCCATAACCAACTCCTCCCACAACTTGACGGAGTTCTTTGGAAGCTCGATCAACCACTTAGTGGCTTCCCTAGTTAATGATAATGGAAATAAGTGCCGCCGTATGCATTCTTGTGATAGATTCTTGAATGAAAAAGGGGTGCACATTTCTATGAAGCTTCGTATATGTTCGTACGAATCTTCATACTCTAACCCTCCATACAAACCTCTTGAATGTATGAGATGGATTATTGTGCTAGTAACTTCAAATGTTGTATTTCCGTCTGCTTGCGGCATGCAAATTGCATCCATCTCACCCATTTGGGTAAGGTTGTACACACTATTAATATCATCAATATCGTCTCGATGAAAAGCATAACCAATTGGGTTGCCTGCTTGGCAGCTATTTTCGCCGTTCACACTCATATGGTTGTTGAAACACACAAATACTCAAAACAAAAATTGAAAATTAGGTAAGTAGACTATAACTAAGAAAAAAATAAATTCTACTAATCAAAGATTCTCAAAATAACACCACTACCCGACAGCGGCGCCATTTTGATGTTTGCATAATCAAAGACACAACTTCTAATGCAAGTGTCTATGATCGTACAATTGCATAATAACCCAACCAAGGGTTGGGGTCGAGTCCCAAGGGAGTGGTTTCGAGGATTAATAGAAAAATACAATTTAGTTCTAACTAGTCGTCGCTAAAGTCATTAACTATTATAAAGATTGTAAATTAAAGGGGGACACAAAAGTGTCAAATATCGATTTGGAGGTTTTGTCAAAAGTATAGCAAAAACAGTAAAAATAACAAAGAAATATATAAATGAGAGGGGATTCTTGGGATATGACCGCAATATATATTGATATAAATTGTTGGGTACATGCTTTTGATAGGAAATTTGCAAGATAATAGTGACTAGGCTAAGCTTTAGATGGAAATAAGTTCCTTCTCGGGCAACTTACCCCGTTTCAAATGAGTTCCTCTCGGACACTCATTTGCTGCATGAAGGCCAGCCTACGCCTTACCCCACTCACTCTCTCGAGCTTAGTGTTAGGATATGGGACTAGGGCTCACCCTCTCGGGATGAACCTTATGTCGACCCACTCCATAGGCCATCAGTCTAGCGGTCTTGGTTTCGTTACGTCTCTCGAGCAAGCCGAAAACACATGGGTGGTTTTGTATTTGCAACTATAAATCCATTAAATTAAACCATAACCGCTAGGTGAAATCACCATTAAAATATATCTAACCTATCAGCAAGCAAAACCCAACAATAATCTCAACACATATTTGCTGAATCACACCCAAAGAATGGGGTTTTTAGCCACACATCAAGAGATAGAAATTTATACCTAAATGAGCTTGCATTCAAATGGGTATGAAGATTTTAAGTCTTGTTACATGCCAAGAATGAAGAATCCAAGAGACCCAAGTCCAAATCCTTGGAGATGAAACTCTCTTCTTCTTCAAGTTTCAAAACCCTCTCAAAACTCAGAGCAAAAATAAAAGTACTAAAATTATATTAAAAATCTGATACTCAAGTCTCTATTAAAATATGATACTATCTAATGATGCTAAAATCTATAACTCTCAACGAGTATTTATAATTTTCAACAATCTGTGCTGCGGCGGATCATTCGGCGACATTAGTCGAAATCGCTGATTAACTCGGTGATTCTCCGTTTGGTGTAGTTCATCACCGTCTTGCACCATCCTTCGGTATCGTCATGCTCTGGGTCATTGGGCGATATAGTACTGCTTCGTGGAACTTCTCGGTGATGCGCCGACTGCTCCCTTGTTCCATCGACTTGATCTTTTCCTTTAGGCTCAGCACACTGGAACAAAAGGCGAAGTGAGACCCTTCGGCGACTCGCCAAGTGGACTCGACGAACCTCAGGCCTTCATTTTCTCATTCTTTTCAGTCTTTTCGTTCCTTTTTGCGAAGTAGTATCCATGCTTTCCTTCAAACTTCAAATACCTGAAACTTAAGTGTTTTCATTAGATATTTAGACTAAATAAGCATTTGAGGACACTATTTCTATTAAAATAAATCCCTAAATGAGTCCAATTTGTGGACTCATCACCTATAGCTTTTGTCTTATGTTGAATAATGCTTATATTATGCTTATGATGATGTTTTTGCTAGCTATCATATTTAGTACAATTTTTTACTAACACATACTCTTGCCTACATTCTTATCAAATGTAGTGTCCGACGATATTGACTTCCATCCCTATGGCTAGGCATTTAATAGAAGTAAGCATTGAAGCTTTGGTGAGTCCTCATAGTATTCGAGGAGATAGCCACCATGTTTTTTTGTCTTTTATTTTATGTTTATAACTATTATATGGGCTTAGTCCAAAAGATGTTCATGTTTTAGATGGTTTGAGATAAAATGTAATAGAGTTTCGCTCGTGTTTTAAAACATTTTGAATGTATGGAAAATGTTCTAAATTTCGGCAACATTTCTATTATCTTATGTTATGATAAGCTAAGTCGCTTCTATGAGGTCCTTTGGGGTCTTGTACGCCATGTTACATCTAGGGTGTACCCCTAGGTCGTGACAAACTTGGTAATCAGAACACAATGTTTAGAATGGTTCTAGGATGTCTCAAAACCACGTCTAGTAGAGTATTTCTCATAAGTGTGAAGCGCGCCACATTTATGAATGAGAAGCTATTGGATGCTTACGAAACATCACTTATTCATTACTCTAAGTCATGCCATAGAGTTTAACTCTGTAAGGTCTCTCTCCTAATCCTTACCCGATGGTCTTTAGGATATGATTACTACAAAGGCTAATGCTAGAAGGAATGAGGAAGACAATTTGGATTTAGAAGCTCCTCCACAAGCTTCGATTGACCCTTTGGGTGAGAATGTGACTAATGCGGAGTTTAGATTGTTTCTTCAAGTGTTGGCTCATGCCGTGATGACCTAAGCAAATATAGAAGTTGTGAACCCCATGGACCCAAATGTGGGTAATGCGGCTTCAAGAGTGAGATATTTTACTAGGATGAACCCTCCAAAATTTTATGCGTCAAAGGTTGAGGAGGATCCTGAAGAGTTTATAGATGAGGTCTATAAGGTACTTGCAATTATGGGAGTCACTGATATACCGTGAGTTTACGGTATTTCTAATAAATTTCACTTACAATTTGTGTGTGTCTAGGGCCTTTTTGTATTGGTTTTTATGTGTTTTTGTCATATTTTGCAGGAAAGTTGTTCAGGCGTGAAAGTAAAGAGACACCTGAAAGAATTGCAGAAAAGGGCATCTACGGAGGTGATCTACGGACCGTAGGCCCATTGACGCTCCGTAGGTGATGGCCGCAGATTAGCAGGCAAGGCAAATTAGGGAAATCTGAACGAGTGTGGAACCACGGTGGCCATTAACGGTCCGTAGATTGATCTATGGACCGTACTGTTGATCCATAGATTGATACTGCGAGGGTTCCAGTACATGATTTTTGGAAGATTCTAAGTGTGGAGCTACGGAATGGGATTGACAGACAGTACATCGATCTACGGTCCGTACTGCAGCTCCGTCGTTTGCTTCAGAGAAGCTGACTTTATGAAGTTGAAATGTTTTCTAAGTCCTGGCTGACGGAAGGGACTCATGGATCGTAGATCCATTGACGGTCTGTGAGTCAGTTTCGTGGAATGAAGATGCGTGCCTGAACAAACTTTCCTTAATTTGTTTCCCTTTTAATTTAGGACTTGTTTTCTATAAATAGGGCATGT